AGAGAGAGAGAGAGGGAGGAAGCATATACAGCCTGGCTTGAAGTCTTTTCTCACACCAGCTTAACGATCATGATGTGTCCAAGAGACATTTCCCTGTTTGTGAGGCGCTCAGTAAGAGAGGCTCAACTGTTGAAAGTGGTCTTGTTCAACAACGTGTCGCTGATACAAGACCTGGGTCAGCAACCACCTGTAGGCAAACAGACGCCAATTAAAAACAATGAGCAATTCTATAAATTAAATAAATAAATAAATAAATATATATATATATATATTACGTTTTGATTATACAGCACGTCAGATGAACACCATATCAGCCTGGAAAGGTAGACCTTAAAGGTTTCACTCTCCACAGCTTTGTTACAGTGTAAACATTAGGTAATGCCTAACTACATCAGCTGCATTGCGCTGGCAAGTGTTTGTGGCTCTAGATTCTCCCTGTTCAGTATTACAGGTGCGCATCATTCATAACAGCAACACAGTCTGCAGCAGTGGGCACAACATGTGCTTAATATTACAGGGTACGTTTCTTTTCTTTAGCACTGTCCAGGCAACTCAGTGGTACAAACTGTACTCAGTGTTAAAGTTTCCATATGGTAAAGTATACTTAACTTCCCATAGAGCTGTGTGTTAATGGTACACACATGGGCTGGCGGTGAGAGAGTAGAAGAGGGGCTTCCATAACATAAACCAGTGTCTCTTTAAAAAAAATTGAAGTTTCTTGTTGTATTCTGGAATGAGGTCAGACACGAGGCTCCTCATTGCACGCGCTGATTATTATTAGATTCCATTTTCGGCCAATCAGAGCCGAGGGGGCGTGAGTTTGGCACAGAAGCAGCGTAGCGACAGCGTCTGATTGGTTGATTTTTATCGCCGTTGTATCTCAGAGAAGGGATAAATGCAAGCAAGGGTGGCCGGGACTGGAGGGATGAAACTCGACTGCAGGTCTGCAGATGGAAGGCAGACAGTGTAACTCGCTCTAGGTTTCTTTTTTTTCTCCTCCCCAGCATGCATGGCTTTTGTTTCTAGCAGAGGGGACAGGGCTGATGCAGAGAAAAGCACTCATCTTACACACTGTACTTGGGAGCCCGTTGTAAGTGCCCGAGTGCACAGTGTGGCACTCAGTCTGCGCTCTGCAGTTGCATAGACTATGTTCAGTCACCACACGGCTGAATTGATTTTATAACACGAGGAAGAGACTGAGAGAGACAGATAACAGGGTACTGAGTGGAGAGTGGGCTGTAGGTGCTGTTTTAACATCTACAGAAACTGGAAATTAAACTTTTTTTTCTTCTTGTTTTTTTTTTTTTTTTTTTTTTTTTTTTACACATCTAGCCTTTTTAAGGCTGCACTGGACTGAACTGTTTGCTGCACATCTCAGGAGTGAATTAATTCTTGCGCTTTTTTTGTACTCAGCTGCGAAGAGGGGGAGAAAAGAGCTGAGTGTGCTTTAAAGTGAATCGGAGGACCGAGGAGAGAGGGAGAGAGAGAAAGAGCAAGTACACCGCTCTCCCTCTGTGTGTATAACTGGGCAGCATGGTGCAGAAAATGAGCCACACAGAGAGCACCGCCGAGGCGCTTTCCTTTTTCGCCGGGGACTCGAGCTCCGACTCCGGGGCGTGCATGGACCTGGACCCGGCCGCCTCGCCTCTCTCCCCGGGCTCTACAGCTTCTTCCACCGCCGGGGACAAGCTGGGAGACAACCCGGCTTGGTGTAAAACTCCCAGTGGCCACATCAAGAGACCCATGAACGCGTTTATGGTATGGTCACAGATCGAGAGGAGGAAGATCATGGAGCAGTCTCCGGACATGCACAACCCCGAGATCTCCAAGAGGCTGGGAAGCGGTGCGAAAGCTGCTCAGTAGACAGCGACAGGATATCCCTTCATCAAGCGGCCGGCAGCGGCTCAGGTCTCAAAGCACATGGCGGACTATCCCGACTACAAGTACCGGCGAGGAAGAAGGTCAAATCGAGCGCCTCAAAGCCCTGGCAGCAGCCGGAGCACAAGGGTGGAGCAAACTCAACAGTAAGCTCTAAAAACAGATAAAGACATTCATCCATCGAGAACGAAACGATCCAACATCACCCAGCAGCAGCAGAACCCCACAAATACCACCTTTTTCGGAGCACAGCAGCCAAGCAAGCTAAGCACCAAAGGCATCAACGGATTTTGACTCTCTGACACCCGCTCCAGAGCACCACACCAACTCCTCTCTACAAGTCCAAAATCCTGTCTCCTCAGCAGCCCAAGCAGATACCGGGATGGTCAATGAAGCCAAAGCGGGTGTACGTCTTCCCCGGGAGCAGCCGCGGCCAGCCTGAGCGTCAGCCCGCGTCTCCGTGGTGGTCCGCCAGCCCGCACGCTCACGCACGCTCCGGCGGACTCCACGACCCGCTTCAAGCCTTGTAACGAAAGACGCGGCCAAGCGGCAGGGAGGGAGGGCGCCCGAGTCCAGCAGCAGCGGCGCGGCAGCTGGGCGCGGGGTCTTCGGGGCCGCCACGGCGGCACACGTACAGCCAGTCGCGGCCTTCCGTCTCTACTCTCCGCTTCACTTCTCCGTCGTCCACTCTCTCTCCTCTCCTGCCCCTCCTCGGAGGACGAAGAGTTCGAAGACGACTTGCTCGATATCAACGCGAGCCCCGGCTTCGATAGCATGTCGCTGGGGAGCTTTGGTTCCTCGGTGCTGGACAGGGACTTGGATTTGAACTTTGAGTCCGGCTCTGGGGGCTCCCACTTCGAGTTCCCCGACTACTGCACGCCCGAAGTCAGCGAGATGATCTCCGGGGACTGGCTGGAGTCCACCATCTCCAACCTGGTGTTCACGTACTGAGTGAGCCAAAAAACAAAAGGAAACAAAAAATAAACGACAGGTAGGCCTAAAGTCCTCCCAGCAAAACATGACCACAAAACACAACCAGGAGCTCCTGGTGCAGTGGGCTTGATAGTTTGTGTTCACCAGACTACTAAACCCCACTGAAACTAGCCCCCGTCCCTTCACGTCCTTTGTAGGCAAGAGCTGCAAGTCGTTGGAAAGTTAAACTTTAAAGCGAATAAGTTGCTTTTTGTACTTTTCTTCGGATGCGTGGACCGGAGGGGGGACTTGGTTCGACCACAGAAGTGGAGGGAGTGCAACCCAGAGAGAGAGAGAGGGGAGAGGGGGGAGAGACGGAGAGACTGACTGAGGTTCCTGATAGTGAAACGCTCAGTCACCGAACTGTTTTTGAACTGAACAACTTAACTGTGATTGATTTGCACGTTACGCGGTCCGCCGTTCACTTAATCAATGTTGTTGCTGATTTAAAAAAAAGAAGAAGAAAAAAAAAAGAAAAAAGGGACATTTCACAACTTTTTACCAATCGCCAAGTGAACTTCACCACTAAAAAGGTACAGAACGGGACTGTCGTGCGACATTTTTTTTATTGTGGTGTGTCACCGAGAGGGATTTTTAATGAAACCGAGGTGGGTTGATGTTTTTTAAAAGTCGAAATATTTTCTCAAAAGCAAAAAACATGTTAAGCATGATAGCCTACTTGTTCCTATCTTGTGCTGAGATTTTCTGTGAGACTGTCGAGCAGTTTAAAAACTAGTATTAGGGTTATTTAAATGATAGGTGGCGCTCGCTTTCGGTTCTTCTCTTCTTTTTTTTTTTTTTTTTTTAAAAAAGGACATTGAAATAATCACCAGCTGTTGTAATTTTTTCAAACTTCAGGATTCAAACGCAACTTCAAATCTGTGCTGAACTTTATACACGTGTTCTCTTCTATTCAGGACCAAAATCCTTTAATTTCAGATGATAGCTATAGAGAAATCCTCACCGATTTGTTTTGTTTTTCATCCTCTGAGCTTTGTTTTGTACATGTTATTCAGATGCCATTTTATATGGGATGTTGTATTTATATACTGGGACAAGCATTTTTGACTTGATCATTTTTTTATTTCTTGTATAACATGATCTGGTCCTGTTCTTTTCTTACACGGTTGTTTGTCAGTATGTCTGTGTCTGTCACATTTCCTTCTCAGGCGAAGGGCTAGAGTTTTAAAAACACACAACTTTTTGATTTCATTTTATATTTAAATGTACACACTTTTTGGACACTTAAAAGAGAGGAAACAGTTTGATTATTTTCTCAGTGTATTTTTGTACAAATCTATATAAAAAAAATGGGGGAGTCAACAATCGGTGTGTGTAGCCTACTAATACAGCTGTATTGGATTTCCTAATTTTTAGTACCTGGCAGGCTGGCTTTTATGCTGCCTTCAAGTGCTCATGGTAAACTCGTACTCATGACTTTGTATTGCCTGTTCAAATGCTTTTTCTAGGTACAGCCAGCAAAACAGACCTTACATCACTGTGGTGCCTATTGTTTGTTTTCAGAAGGCACCGAGCTACTTTTTACTGAAATGACCGAGCAGAGGAGATAATCTGAATCAGGTGTGTAATCGGTGTTATAATTCACTAATTTGGCAAACTTTCTCTTACCAGCAAATACTGACAATACTTCTTTGATGTCCAATCCCTGATCATCTCCTATTGTCAGTACAGGCACAAGATGATTAACCACCCAGTTATAAGGATGCAATTACGAATTTTCCGACAGCACTTGAAAGCAGCACCAGTCTTTGTAACAGCCTACCTTCTACGTTTACAGTGCCAGTCTGCAGGCTCCTTAAAGACACAGGAATGCATTATTTCTGGAGGCTATTCCTGTGGACCATGTGGGTTTAACAGCTTCACTATCTTAAGCAGCCACTTGCTTTTGCATTTCCCATCAGATCCCATCTTGCCTATGACAACAAATGAGGAGATTGTAGCTTTAAATTTGACTTATTTCTTGATGTTTTCATTAATTGATGTCAAATTTGCCAATCAACCACTGGATTGAACATGCTACCAATACAACAAGCAAACAACAAGGATGATAACATCAAGCATATTCAAATTTCTGACTTGAGTTCCGCAACACCTACTTGTACTGCGTTTCTCATTGTATTTGAATATATAATCTTTTCTACTTGTCGGCTAACTATTAGCTAATAATTGTTTTAGTATCTTTATGGCATGGTGAATAGCATTTGTATTTCAGATTCAGGTTATTAGCTGTTGTGTTTTTCAGAAAAAATGAAAAAATGAGGAAAAACGATGAAACGTGAACTCGATCTTTGTATATTTGACTGTATCATAAAGCAAAAAGATTGTGTGTTTATGTACGTTGTTGCTATCGAGGACAGGCACTGTCTAGAACTGCTATCTTTTACACATCCTTACTTACATTTAAGGTGGTCAGTTCAGGACTCTTTTTTTATATATATATGAAAGCATTTTTAAATATATTGACTTTATTTTTCATCCATCCTGTGCAATATGCTGTGTAGAATTATCATTTATTGTCTCTAATCATGCCATAAACAAAGGAACCACCCTTTTTTTGGGACTCAGAGAAAGGGGGGGGAAACTCATGCCAGCTAAATTGTGTCCATTCACTGCCTGTCAGATTGTTGATATAAACTTGTGTACAGAACTTTTTCAAGGAAGGAAATAAATATCAGCTGGAACTGAAACTCTACAACTCTTTTCTTGATTCTTAAACTTTTGGTCTATCTTTGGTTGTCAACGGTAGGAAACAAGTGATATGTTTGTGTTTACATGTTAGTTTCCATACATGAGGAAGAAATGGCTAATATCAACGCCTAATTATCATTACTAACATTCTGGTATAAAAAGAGTATGAATTCAGAGCAAGAACACACAAGCAAAGCTATTTCTCAGCTCATCACTGCACCTGCTTTTGTAGCAGTTTCATTCTTAATGGCAACGCAGCTGGGTACAAACAAAATGACAGTTGAAAGCAAACATCACTATATGGATTGGTTTCCAAAAGTGGACACAAATATGGGGTGAGAAATTACTTGCTTTTGTGAAATACACTCCACTCCCACTGCGAGGCAACTTTCTGCATCCAAACCATAATCACTTCTTCATTAGAGGGAGGCAAAATGATAGTTGGCACTGCAGTGTGAAATGGAAATGAAAAGGCTATATCATCTATTGTTCATTTGTTTACCATCTACAGTATGGAAAAGGGTGTTTAATATTGGGTGACTATTGTCCACATCTGCACATGTTTTTGTTGTACACACCACGTCTTCTATTGAGTGTAAATGGCCCACGTGGTCTACGAAACATTTTGGAGTCCTCCCCGAGCTATGAAAAAGCCCACTTTTATTACCAGTTACAGCAATAGGCAAGACTGACTTTGAACAAGTCTAAGCAGTCTCCCCCTCTTTAGACCTGGGATGGTCTTGATTCTCTAAAAGAGAAGCTTACTGCACCATTGTGGAGCCTACATGTGTATATATAGACTAAGACATAGCAAATCAATAAGATTATTTTAACCCTATTGGGACACTTATTTGATGTGTTTTCATGTTAAGCTCCCATAAGGCTAAAATCCACAGCTTGCATTCAAAATGTATTTTAGTAGGGTAGTATCTGAGACCTGGTTGTCCCATACCTATGATTATATGGCCATATGACATCTACACAGCCACAGTGGATGTGATTCTTAATGCACAGTTAAAAAAACAAAAACAAAACACATCTAAACACAGCACAACACAGCTAAATGCATCTGTTTAAACATCCATGCGACATTGATTTGTGGCTTAAAGGGTTAAGACTCAAATGCATTATGCATAAGGTAAAACATTTCAAAAAATCCCAACAAATTACCAAATAATTAGCTTTTAAATTCACATCAATCTTTACAAGCATAAACATCAAAATGAATATCAAAAGATGCATAGACAGATATGTATTTACCCCTTGATATTTTACAAAACAATCACTTTTAAACATGATGCAGTGGAGAACGTCTGCTGATTAAATAAAAATGGAATGCCTGCATCCTTTGTAACATCACCCTCTGGATAATATTCATATACTGACTCATCTAAAGCAAATAATCCAACATGAAAAGCTAATCTATGCTGACCAGTTGAAGCTTCACAGCAGAGGGCTGCTATTAACACATGTCTACATTGATGGCTCGTGTATCCATGCACCTAAAGTCTTATTACACAGACTATGAAGAGATGGAGGTGAGCCGTTTTACCACCGTCCCATGAGTAACAGCACTGTTTTATTACTAATGTGCTTCTTGAATAGTCAATTATGTTGCCCGCTTAGGTTTGTCTAATTGCCTAAAATGTATTCCTGCTGAAGAATAAAATGTGGCCCATTTAAGTCATTAATAAATACTAGGGTCACCATAATTGGCTGAATGATAAGGGATAGCTGTAATAAAGGCTGTTTCTTGGAGAATACACAATAATTAGGTCAAAAGCTAAATTATCTTGGGCTTCTTCCCAGACAAACTGATGTTTTATTCTTTCTATTGTATTTTATTCTATTTTCTTCTAGCCTGTTGTATGTGCTGTATGCTGGCTGTCTGGTGTTCAGACAGTCATGATTTCCCTTCCCCCTCTCCCAGACAGACCCTTATTGTGGGGGAAGGGCTGGTTTAGCAGCAGTCAGCCAAGGGCCCTCCAGCATAGCTGACAAGCATGTCTGTCTGTCTACGGCTTGTGCGTGTCTCTCTCTCTGTGTGTGTGCATGTAGTTGAAATACAATGCATAAAATTAAACCACATGGCATGGGGGTCCCTGCAATAAGACCAGACACTGTATGTCTACCTCATACATCAGCAGATATATGTATAAAAGAAAAGACTATGTAACAATGTCGCTTCTTTAATTTCGCAACTTTCAAGGAATGTTCAGCATGCAGTATGAAGCTTACAGTATTTGTTATAGCGCTATTATATTGTATTGCATAACAGCTTAATCAGTTATGTGAGATTACTGCGACTATGTGGATTCATTATGTGTATGCAACTGGATTTTTTTAACGTTGTAATTGGATGTACAATTACTTTGAGCATGTAGTTTTCTCATTTTTAAAAATTATTCCTACTATACCATGTAATGTATGTAGCAAGTCATTTCAGGCAGTTCGTTATTTAGTGTATTTGCTGCACAACGCGCAGAAGCCAAATGCCTCTTCGGAATCATTCAAATTAATGCTCTTGTGCATTTCAAATTAGTTTAATTGCGTGCGTGTAATGAGTAGGTAAGTAGCAAGACGTTTAGCATGTATTTCATAAAAATGTAATGTCAAAATCAGGTTCACTTAATTCACCATATACAATATTACATACAGTAATTGGTCTTGGTGTCATGAGTTCTGATCCACAGTAACAGGTTGACAGGAGAGGCGATGAAGATAAGTTTAAGACACAAAACAGACAACACATGTAATTGTCTGTATTTTATACAATATGTTCAACATTCAGTAGCTACATGCAAAAAGCAGCACTGCAGCTATGTTTGCAGCTGCAGAGGGAACACTGTGAGTGTGCACTAGTGCAGTAATCCATAACTGATTTTATGAAGCTGCTATAAGCCTTTGCAGTATTACTGCAATATGCAGATATCTGGATTTTATCTGAGCTTAATTGGCTGTGTGTAGCTACTTACTTTACACTACATGTAAACATTGCCTTCTTTTTGTCTGGCAGTCATATGCATTTTATAACACCTGGTGTATATTACTTCATTTCTTTAACACCCCGACAATAAATATGTATTATACGGGGAG